CAGGACCGGCCCAAGAGTTGTACTTAGGAAGTTCTTCAGGAAGCAGCCCAGCTCACACGAGGGGGAATTGAAGGGGGGTGTGTGCGTGGGGGGGAAACCAACAACAAAAAAAAACCAAGTCAAAGCCAGACCATTCAGACTAATGTGGTGCAGCAGTGTGAGTTCGACAGCTTTCTGAAAATGCTTCCCAGTTCTCACTTTACTTTCCAGTTTTTACTCACTGTCAGGGTTCTGTTTCTGGGTGTTTTCCCACCAGTGGCAGTGACCGGAACTGCTGTCTCTCTTCTGTGACCTGGGTATGCTGTAGGTTCTTGGGCCCTTTTCTTCCCCAAAAGGAAAAAAGCTGGTGAGCAGCAGGACTGACTCCTGGAACACTGTTGTAAACATGAAACTCTGAACACACATGCAAATTTGTCACAGCGGGTCTCTTCAGGGGCTGGGAGGAAGAGGGTAAGTTAAGCTACACAAGGAGCTTCCCCATGCTTGTCTTGCCTCAGCTTCACCAGGCAAAGGTGGAAAGAGGAGAGCTGTGCTTCTGAGGAACCTGGCTTCAGCTCTCCCACTGTTGGTGGTGAATGATTTAGGACAGCATGGACAAACCCTGGCTGGCCGCTTGCTGCTGCCTCGGCAGCAGAGGAGAGAGTGCATTTGCTCTTCAGCAGCTGCAGTTTGTGTTATGATGGCATCTAAGGCTGCTGAGGATGAAGAGGGCACTTCCATTTTTTGCCACCCCAGTGCAGGGCAAGAAACCTTTGTCAAAAGGAGGGGACAGCTACTGGGAGTAGTGTCATGTGTCATATACTGGAGATGAGGACTGAGAATTGGAGCCTTGTGGCCACCCATGAGTATGTTTAGTGGAGTAAGCAGCAGAACTGTTGGGAGAAAACCTTCTGTATCTTTTTTTTTTTCCGTGTGAGTGTAATGGGTTGCAGCACTGTCCTGTGGTGGGAATGAATCTGTCTGGAGTCTGTAGTTAAGTATTGTTTGCAGCTTCACAGCTTGTCTCTGTGGTTCATTCCATTGCTTTCTAGTTCTTATAATTAAATGTTGTGTGACTAGTGATTGTGGGGGAGTTGCCGATGTGCTTGAATACATTATTATTACTAGTATTATCTTCACTGGCAAAGATGAATCTCTTTCACCTGATTACGACCTCTTCCATATCATTACCATGGCTTCTGCTGTCATCTTTCTTCCAGATTCAACATACTTTTCTGAGGTTGCTCAAACTTAAGTTAACCATTTTAGTAAATGTCTTTCAACCAAGCTAAAAAAAAACCCCACCATTAATTGTGTTGTCTGATTCTGTCAGAGAAATATGAACCTGACATCCCCTTTGCCAGTGTACAGACTCTTGGCAGGCACTGGAAAAATGAAAATTCCCCGTGTCCTTGCAATTCCCTGTGTAAGCCATGAGTCAGCAAGGCAGCCCGTGGGTGATGGTGCAAGCGTGATTACGCCTTGCTGCTGTGAAATGAACAGGCTGCTCTTCCTCTCTGGGGGAGTGAGAGTGCAGAAAAGGAGCTTCAGGGTATATTTGTGCTTTTTTTTTTTTTTTTTTTTTTTTTTTTCCCCTCTCTCTTCCTCTTCTTTTTAAAATCCCTCCTCCAGTTATTGCCCATAAAAAACCTCTGCAGCAATTTCAAAAGTACTTCCTGATGCTGTGGAAACTTTCCCTGCGTGATGAAGAAAGGGTAAGGATAAAGGAGGCGGGAGCTGCTCTTTTTTTCTGTACTCTGCTGCCAGGAGACTAGTTGTTTGGATTTGAACCTGAACAAAGTGTTTGATTTTTAACTTCTGATGATGACTGAAGGATCAGACTTCTCTTTCCTGAAGAGATCTGTTGTGAGTGGAGCTGTGCGAATTTATTTAAACTCTGAATTCAAAGCTGCTGTGCATCGTAATGGTCCTTTGTGCAAAACACTTTTGGATCTAACACTTTATTTTAACAACAGTCTTTGAAACAGCCACTCAGAAATTATACTACTTTGTGTTATTAAATAAATCACATCTCTTAGGTTTTTCCTAAAAGCTGAGGTTTTGCTAAACCACAGATGTAATGAGCTTGAAGGATTTTGTTTAACTGCAAACTCTGGAGCTAGTCCCTCAGGTGGGATGACGATGCCCAAGCTCTCTCTGCCCCTCCAGCCAGCTCTACGAGCCCCGCATCCTATTTTCCCCCCGTAGAGCTCCTGGGCTCTGCTTGGAGCGAGATCAAGGATCTTTCTGAACACCAACTGGCTGATAGAGCTGCAGCTCTCGAGGTTCTGCACAGGTGGTGTTATGCCAGCTTCTTGAAGGGCCTCATTTTCCTCTGGAATGGATGAGTTTTGGATTTCCATGCACTTGCTTCCTACTTGTGGCTTAACAGTTTCTTCTCTGGAGCACGCAAGGTGCGAAGGAGTAATTCCTTTCAGATCAAGCAGCTGTAATACCAAGTATGCGATGAGCTGACTTGTGCTGCTCGTGTCACTGAAAATTAAGAACTTTCACTACAGTGAGAGTTTTATTTTAGAAATATGTAAGCGAAAGTGCAGTAAATGTTTTAAATTTGCAGCCAGAGTACCATGTTGCAGCATTGTTAATTTGGTGCCTGGGCTCTCCAAGGGAGCATGCAGGGATTTAGTATGGGCTTGGAGGGCCAAGTCTGTTCTTGTCCAGTTTCAGACGCAGGTTGGTTGTTTATCCTTACTTCCCGCTCTCGCTAATATCAGGCAGCTCAACTGCACAGATGGAGGAAGGAGTAGGGTTTACTTTAGAAGAAGCTACTCATGATGTTGCTTTTCTTCACTTAATATATAATTTTGGTGTTGAAAGTTGTGATGTGCTTATTTACCTACTATGATGTATTTAGCTATCTGATTGTATTTCTTTGTTCAAAAGAGTCCTTTTTTTTAAATATCTATTCCGATTTGGACAGTGAAGGACCCTATATCCTACTCTTTTTCTGAGATTTGATTAGCATAAGGGAAATGGATTATTGTCCCCTGTACTGCCATCACTCCAAGCCTAGCTTTAGTAGGACTCTTGAATACCATATAGGTAATTTGGTGGTTCAGACCAGAAATTTGTACGTCTCAAATTGGTGGCACATCCTTTGTGCAAACAATATGTGTTTTACAGAAGCGTTTGGAATTAAAATCCCTGTGGGTAGGCTGCTCAAACCTGCTGTTAGATTGCAGGGTTCTTAGTTTTGACTCATGTTGCAGTGTAGGTACTAGAAAATACAGCAGATCTTGTAGATAACTTGCAGCATCTGAAAGAGCGGGCAGTAAGTGAATTAATTTGGAAGACTGTTGGAGGATGGGAATCATAGTCTGATTCACAGCTGCATCCCTGCAGACGTGTCCACATGTTCCAGGTCTATTTATCGCTCTGTCATCAGGCAGAGGGCTTGAAGGCAGGTTTGTCTAGGTGGGTGTTGCACAGCTCTGACCACAGTTCCCCATCACTCTTTTAAGTAGATGGGGCAGCCAGCACATACCCAGTTTTCACTTGCAACTGCCAGAACGTTGCTTCATGCTGCTTGTGCCTCTGAAGGTATTTGTACGGAAATTATATGCTTTCATGGGCATTTGTGGTGATAATTAATTTTAATCTCTCTTGAGCTTCACGACATAAAACAGTGTGGTCTTGTGCTGCTTGAATTTGGGCTGCTAGCCTGATTTGTTTTCCTGTTTTGGGGATTTGACAGTATTCACTCACCCAATGAAATTATAGGGAATGACAATCCACGTTTTTAGTTCTGCTGCTAAGATGCACATCGTGTGAACATGTGTGCAAGATGCACATGTTGTGCCGAGACATTGCATAACACAATATTTGTACTTTGGAAATAAGGGGTGATAATTGAGAGTGGCTTGCACGGTCTTATCCTGGCTCTTTTGAATGACACTGATAACGATTGCTCCAGTGGCGTGGCTGGGACTAAGTCATGCTTTGGGAATACGATGGGCAGCTGGTAGACAGCAGTAGGCTGTTCATTTCCTAACCTATTGTGAGGTTAGGAGATGTGTTGGCTCCTGTACCAAAGAAGTAGCTTATCATTTGAGCATAAAGAGGAATGAGGGGCATGTTTGTTACTCATCTGTCAGAGAGGTAATTTCTGTAAACCTTTTTGTGCTATTTGCTCTCTATCAGAGAGGCTGCCTTTTTCTTGGTGATCAGAGAAAAATCTCCAGGATATTATGGGGAGGGAGGAAAGGCCAGCGCAGATTTTCTTGAGTGTGGGATGTGTCCTGCAGATGCTTTATTTTGCTGTGGTTTTAGCTTTAGCAGCTATTTGTTCTCGTTCATGTTTTTGTTAAGGAGTCAGAGGATTGTGGTGATAGATACTATATTCTTTTTGCAACGGAGAAAGTGTGGCACAAAGTGAAGCAGCAATGCAAGTCTTCATTCCGAAGTGGAACGGATCCAGTAGATCTTAGTCCCTTGTTGTTTAGTGCACGCTGCATAATTTGGGTAGAGATATTACCAATACGACTTAATGTGGACGGTGTGCTGAATTATGACTTATAAACATAAGCTATTCTTTCCTCCCCAAGATGTTGTCTGATAAGTGACAAGAAGGAAAGCCTCTGAGGCTTTTAAAGGTGTTTGATGCTAGAGCTACCCCTAAAAGATGCTGTACTTACGCCCTTACATGTACTGCCCTTTTCACGTACGCAACCTTTGTGCAAACAGATAATGAACCAGATATGGGAACTGGTCCACAATACAGCTGACTGTTCTTTTCGACTGGGTTAGTTTTATCACTGGAAAAGTATGTCACTCTGTCCCACAAATGCTGCTGCTGGCACAAATGAATGCGTGTCCCAGAGGTGGGAGTGAGGAAGGGAACTGCTTCCTTGGGCAGAGCCATTGGTGCCTGCCAGTGTGGTGCTCGCCGAGTTCCTCGGAGTAGAGCTTGCACCTCCTTTCCCTGTTGATCAACAGAAGAAATGCTATATTTGTGTACTTTGTGCTCTCTTCCTATGTTAAGACACCTATTTCTATTTCAGTGCTTTCACTAGCTATTGAGAACCATGTCTGACAACGGAGAACTGGAAGACAAGCCACCAGCTCCTCCTGTCCGGATGAGCAGTACTATCTTCAGTTCAGGGGGCAAAGACCAGTTGTCTGCCAACCACAGCTTGAAGCCCCTGCCCTCTGTACCAGAAGAGAGAAAACCTAGGAATAAAATCATCTCCATATTCTCTAGCACTGAAAAAGGTAAGATGCCTCTCTTTTCAAAGGTTGCTACTTGTATTCCTTTGCTCTTCTTGTAAGCTTTGGTAGTGCTTTAGACATTTGAGTCCAGGCTGTCCAAGTGTAGGGGATTGAAGGAAGTGGTGAAAACTGGGAGATGTGTGTTTAATGCACTGAGATGTTCTTTCTGTTTGCACTGGGATGTTTGAAGTGGAAATGCTAAGTAAGAAAAATTCAATAGCCTACTGAGGAAAACCACCACCTATTGCTTCTCATGTTTGCTGCCCAGTTTAAAGTAAGGCACTTCCAAACAGCCCTAATAAATATTTGTGATTCCTGGGTATCGTATTACTTACCATTTGGCTATGCAAAATGCAGATTTCTAGTTTAAACTGAGCATCCAGCTGTTTTGGAAGTTACTTCATGTTGATGACCGTTTATGTGGTACCTGGAGGGAAAAAAAGGTAGTAAAGAAGTAGTGGGGAGGGGGCAGTGTGCCTGAAGGAGAATTGAGAAAAATGAAGTCCTTCTGTCTGTGTAACTGCACTGTTAGGATTAATTACTAGTGGGGGAAAAATCTGGATTGCTGTAAACAGGGATTATTTCTGATAAAAAATTGCTCTAATGAAACGAGACTCTACTTGTGATTTCTTTCTGTCCTCTTTTTTGTATTATGAATATATGTACTTTGCTGGAGCCCTGATCCTCATTCTCCAGGATGTCTGTATCCATGTACAACAAAATAGTGCAGATAAAAATACCTTTTAACAACTGGTACAGTAAAACTGTGCAGGGACTTACAAACCTGACCTGAAACTGCTATGCATCTTATTAATCTCTACCAGTTAGCGTTTTTGTGATTACTATTAAGATACATGAAGGGAAGACTTTGCTGGTCTTAATGTCTTCTAGTTCTGCTCTTGGCTTCCTGCACCTCGTTGCTGATGTGCTGGGCAGGACTGGTTCAGTCCTGCCGACACAGGTTTGACTGTTTCAAGAGACTTTGCTCCTCGGGTTATTTATTCACTTGGCTAAGTATTTTCCCCAGGGCTGGTTTTTACTCTTGCTCAGCTGTGTGAGCAGTCCCTCTGCAGTCATGCCTCCCTCCGGAGACAAACGCTAGAGGCAGGCTTCCCTGTGTTTGGAAGAACTGGCTTTCCATGGTTTGGCAGAGTTTTTGCTCTCAGCAGTGGGTGTGCTTTCCTTTTCGGAGGATGGAAGGATTTGGCCAGTGTAGCTTTTGGAAGCAGAATAGTTATTTCACAAGGTCAGTTATTGTGAAATAACTGTGGCTGCATTACAGCAATAGAAGTGGTGGTCTTTTTTACTGACATGGGTAAGCCTCAAAGAGGTAGGTCTCTAAGGAGAATGTGAGAAGCTACCACAGGCTGGTTGCAGCACCTCCAGCGAGAGGCTCCAGGCCTCTGAGGTTGGTGAAGGTGGTGAACCTGGGTGCTGTCAGCGAGATGCAGTTCCACATGTCTGCAGCAGGTTCTAGCTTAAGCCCTTCAATACTGCAGAAACTGGTGATTTACCATTATATCATCAGTCACGGGAGGAAGCGCCTAGAAATTGTCATGGTGAGTGCTGCAAGAAAATCTTGTGGAAGGGTCAAATCTGTCCACGTTCATATTGGGAGAAAGGTTTAGGAGCTGGGATGGTACTTGTCATTATGCTGTTGCATTGATTGTTCATCACAGCATTTGTAGCCCTTTTTTACAGACAGGGATATAATGAAGTAAAACATAAACGCCACTTAAAGGGTTTTCCTTGCTCTGAATTAGTAATACTGTGTAAGACTAGCTTGTGCTGTGAAATGAGTGATGAATGCAAGTGGGTGGAGCACAGCGGGAGAGCTTTGTGACATTTTATAGTACCTTTACTTCTCCTTGGACGTTTCCTGTTTCCATCTTGACAGTGGGTTTGTTCATTGCTGAAATGGCCAGGGAGGTGGTTGAAGACTTCTGTAAAATTGTACTGGCTCATCTGAAATTGCTCTGGAGTTCCATTACTTAAACTTACTCAGACCCCCCTGTAAATACTGTTGCGTACCAAATCTATGGAAATTAATCTGCATACTACTTTAGCATGTATGTCTGTAGACTACTGATATTTAGTAATGCAAACTAAAAATGGAATAAATAATTTCTGCCTGCAAAAAGGACATTTTAGAGAAAATGGTGTCAGTTTGTTTTCTGGATGTTAAAAGTATTTAAACTAATGTCCTCCTAAAAAAAAAAGCAGGAGGTTTTACTGCATGGTTAGGAAAAATGGTAATTGAATTACTTAGCTTAAAGAAGCTATCTGAAAGTTGTATTTTTTTACTTTGGAAAACTTGTTGGTTGGATGAACTGCAACAAGGATAATCTAAACATCCAAAGAAGCGTTTTTGGCCCTCAAGACTGCAAAACTGTCAAATGTAAGCAGAATATAAATGGACACAGTGACTTTCTGGCACTAAAACAATAGTCAGATGTTAATTCTTTTGTTCATTAACATGGCTGAGACGCACCCTCACCAGAAATGTCCATTTAAGTAACTTTTTTTTTTTTTTTTTTTTAATTCTGCTGCTGGGAAGCTTTTCAGAAATACTAACTTGATGCTTGGATTTAAAAAAATATATTGGGACTATAGGCAAAATAACTTGTCAACCTGGGATAGAAATATTTTCATGGGAAAAACTTTTCCAGCCAGTGCAAGCTTACTACAAAAATGGTAAATTCTCCTTTTTGGAAAATGAATGCTTGGATGCCTGGCCAGGAGATGTACAAGTGCAAACAGAGCTGTTATTGGCTAACGTTGTTTGGTTTTGCTCTGCAGATGTCTGTCTGTATGATTTTGCAAGGTCCCTCCTGGCCAGCTTCATCCTACCTACAGCCACAGCTCTGCCCCCCGCCCCGGCCCTCTCTGGGCCGGTTTCTCTAGTTTAGAAGATGGTGCTGGGGAGGTGGTGTGCTTTGGGGGACTCACTGCGGAACGGTGAGGTTTAGCAAATGCAGAGTTTCTGCCCCAAGTCTGAGCTAGTTCTGCGCTGAAATAACCCTAAAAATTTGAAGGGATTATTTAATGACCTACCTAGTCATGGAGGGTTTTTTCCCCTCTAGTTCCATTGTTGAGGATAAATGAAGTGATAGTCATCTTTTTACTAGAGTACTTAATTACCATGAATTTCCTTGGCTAGACTTCTGAAGTCAAATGAACCTCTGTGTGTTTTGGGAAAGCTTTAAAATAGTCCCCTAAAACAAGAAGTGTTTGTGTTTGAGCTGAATTTATTAAAGGCGGTGCTGTGGGGCATCACCCAGGACCTGGGATCGTGCAGGTAGCGTGCTCAGGGCACGTGTCGGTGTGGTTTCAGTTGCGGCTCAGTAACTCAGCGTACCCTCTGGAGTCCTCTACCTCCTACGACCAGGCTGTGTTTCTTGCCTTTCGCCCCGAGCTTGGCTGGTGGGAAGCGAGGGATACTTGAGGGTGGGTTTGCGATGTAGGAAGGTTGTGGAAGTACCTCAGGGGGGACACCTTGCTGGGTGCTTGTTGCTTCATCTGGGGAAGAAGCCAGCCGTATTTGAGGCACTTTCTCAATGGGACAGAGCAGCTCTCCAATTCACCGAACCCTTACAAAGGACCTGTGTCTTCCCCTTCCTGGGAACAGGGGCACTATGTGCTGCTCTCTCTGCGGAGCAGAGGGACCACATCTTAGATGCACTTGCTGTTTGAAATGACCCTTGCCTTAAATGAAGGGATTCCCATTTAAAAACACATCAGAGGTTGAAACACAGCATGGCCTCAGAGTGGCCTTGCTTGCAGAGCCTCGAGTGTGTCCTGCCAACACATGACTCACGGGACTTGCCTCTTGACTGAAGCTCACTGCTTGCATTTGTTTGAAGTGCAGCTCTGATCTGCTGTTCTGTGGGCAGAGGAGTGATTTTTTTTTTTTAGTCTCCTTGCCTAGCCTACTAATGAGATCTGTGTATTTTTGGAAGGAGTGGGTTTATTTGTGCAGCTCATGCTGGAGGGTTTAAGCACCAGCTCCTGTTCCCTACATGTCAAGTGTGCCTGAACAGAAACCTTCGTAAGGAATATAACTATTTCCTCCCCCTGCTTTCACATAAACAACTGCAAGAGTTTGGGAAGAAACTACTTTCCTTAAAGGTTTCTACATAAGCAAGTTTCTCCTGTCCTGTGACTGAACGGTGTTAGTGAGAACATTTAACAGTCTGTTTGGTTTTTGGCTCTGACCTGTGCAGCCATATTAAAGATATCCTGTTTATAATAGCCGTGTCTTTCCACTGCATTGTTCAGCTGGAGGCAGCCCACATGGCTTTTCGTTTGCAAGTATTGTCCTCAGCTCCCTGTCCTTCCTTTCCCACCAGCGTGAGGGGATTTCAGACAGATTTCTCTGACTCTGAGCCGCACAATCCATGCTCACCCCATGTTCAGGAAGTTTTTACCATGTAGTAACAAAGAGGGTGCTGTTCTAGCTGCTCTTTTTCTGTACTGAAACTACATGACTTTTAAGGTGAATTTAAAAACAAAGCAAAAAAAAATTTTTTTTTTGACATACATAAAATGGTAATCAAGTTAGATTGCAAAATGGTGTGCTGCTTTTCTTTGTGATTATGAGCACTACAGGGTTCTTGCTGTCTTCATGAACGCTATAATAAATGCAGCTGATTCAGCTGTATGCTGTGCGAGCCCCCAGGCATTCCCAGGATTACACAGGCAGTTTTCTTGGTATCAGGTTAGACACACTCTACAGCTCATTGCCAGGCAGTGTCTTTCAGCAGAGGACCATGAGGTGAAGCCTTGAGCATCATCTTTCTGCCTGGAAAGCAAACAGCAAGTACACCCCTCTGCTCTGGCAGGGAAAGCACTAGGGCTCAGGCTTTTTTGCAAGAACAAGAAAACATGTTCCTGAAAACTTTCAACTTAACTCCAAACAGAACAGAATGGTGTATTTTCTATTTAGAGCTAACTACAAATTGTCTTTCATTTTTATTTATTTTCTCTTTGTCAGAAAAAATAAAAAACCCAAGCCCCAGGCATTATAAAACATCATCTAAATTTAATTGAATCGAGGCTGGATTTTGCTCATGATCCTTCTCATTATCTGATCCTGCTTCTGGTACTTTTATAATGCTTGCTTTTTTTTTTTTTTCCCCCCCTTTTAATTTAAATTAGGTAATTGCTCTGAGGCTATAAACTCTTATCTTCATCACAGGAAGTCCTAGTTTGCATTAATTACCTTGAATTTGAAGCAGTGAGGCAACAGAGTTTTAACTGTCTTTAGGGTGAACTTGAGGTCGAAGTGAAGTTGTCTTCGGTGTTGTTCTTAATCTATATTAAAATGTCCTTTTTTGCATTGTAAACATTTCATATGTTCAGATTTCATATGCTCAACAGAGCACCTTGTGCTCTGCTCTTAATCGCTTTTTTGCTTGCTACTATGAAGAAAATTTACCCCAGCCAAAACCAGCACACCATAGTATAAATGATTTGAATGGAACAAGTTGTTGATTCTTACGTGAAGCCTATACCAACTTGAAAACATCAAATCACTGTGCTGCATATGTAAACATCCCATCCAGTAAACAGAATAATGGTTACATTCATCCTAATTGTTGTAATGCTTGGCCTGATTATGGACACAATAAGACTTTAAATCTTTGCTCAGTAGATCTTTGAATGTCTTTTTCAGGAAGCAAGAAGAAGGAAAAGGAAAGGCCAGAAATCTCCCCACCATCAGATTTTGAGCATACGATCCATGTTGGCTTTGATGCTGTTACTGGAGAGTTCACTGTAAGTACATACCTGCCTCGGAGTAGCTCAGAAGGCAGCCAGCCATGTGTCAGTGCTCTAGTGAAGCCATTGCGACGTTTTAGAATAAAGTGCAAGTTAGTCTTTGTATTTTCAAATAAATAATTTTACTGTGTATTTGTACAGCATGCAGAGCGATGAGTCACTGACCTCTTAGTACTTCTGCAGTGTAAATGTCAGAGCTGATGCTTTCTGTCACCTGGGAGAGCCTTCCCCGAGAAATCCTCTTCAGTTTAGTTTTGTTAGTGGGTAACACTGTGTTGAGCACTTTTGTGTTCCCATTCCTCACATCTGGTTTAATACACCTCAAAAGAGGGGGTGTCATGTTGGCACAGTGACTTCTGTTGTCGCCTATGGACATACAGCTCCCCATTAAAACCCCTTCCTACTTGTTCATGTGTTTAAGGCTGTGTGTGTTGCGCTTTTTATAGAGGAAAGAAATTTGTTCTGCTTTTTAAAAATCTTCAAAATACTAGCACAATGCTTAAAATAGCCTATTTTCTCAGGGAATGCCAGAACAATGGGCTCGGTTGCTTCAGACCTCAAATATCACAAAGTTAGAACAGAAGAAAAACCCCCAGGCGGTACTAGATGTGCTGAAATTTTACGACTCCAAAGACACAGCAAAACAGAAGTATCTGAGTTTTTCTGCTCCAGGTAAGATCCAAGTGTGTGCAAGACATCGAAGAGGAGTTGGGTATTTGGAACACAGTCATCCTCTCTTTCAGAATAATAAATCAGATTCAAGTGCTGAAAGAGTGAGCTACTTTTCAATGAGGAACAAGTGTTTGAAGATCGGTGTATTTAAAACTTACTGGGAACTGGCGTTGTCCAGTTAATTTCCTGTTGAAGTGGAGAGAGAAAGAAATGGATGATTCAAAATAGCATCCAAAATTAACTCAAACGGGCTGTGTTTATCAGTCTGGGCCTCTGAGACTGATTAATCGGTTTTGTGCTGGAGACCTTGCTCCTCCTGTCTGTGGCCGAAACAGCTGTCTGTGAACTTGTCACCATGGGGTGACACCAAAGAGGCAAAGCAAATTGTGGTTCCTAGATCAGGAGCTACATGGGGGAGCTGAGAGGATGACTGTCCTGCAAACAGATGCAGTTTTTACATAGTTTTCTTCCAAATGATTTCTGAAAATAGCTTAGTAATAAGGCTTTCTAATATTCTTATCCCTGATTCAAGATACTGCTAAGGGAACAGAAATAGCCATTTGAACCTATTTCACATCTCAGTAAGACAGAACATAAAAAGGGTGGTGAGCCATGCTCAGTTTGGAAAACTGGGGGGGCATATTCAGCTGAGGTGAAGAGCAAGCTGGGGAGTGGGTTTGCCTACCCATAGGATTTTAGAAATTTACACTTCTTTCTGCATGGTCTTACAGTGCAATACTGGTTTGTCTCGTTTTTGACCATGAAATTTTGCTTTCTGAAAGATGAAAAAAATCTCCAAAGTGATCTGTGTTCTTTACTCTGTAAAGTTCACTTTTTATTGTTTTTCTGATGGTTTTATGTATTCTGCTATTTGTCCTATTTAGAAAAAGATGGTTTCCCTTCAGGAACACCAACGGTGAGTGTGTTTACTATTCTTTGCATATTCTTAGGTGCAGACAGGTCTTCTGTATTTGTTATATACTGAATCTTGCAGTATAAAACAAAATGAGGTGGTTTTTTTTGTGGAATAAAAACATACATTAGCAGGTCAACAGAACATATGTCACTGGAGCAATGGTATTTGAGTCTTATCATAAAATGCTATAGGGCACTGAAACTACTCAACCTATCCTTTTCTTTTGACATCAGTAAGAATTGTTTTATCTTCATGTGGAAAAAAGAAAAAAAAAAAGCCAAGTCTTTAACACTTTGGGGGAGACAATTTTGTGTTTTTTGTTTTTGTTTTTTTTTTTTTTAACTTTGGTAAAAATGTAGACCAATGCCAAAGGTTCAGAACCATCAACAGCTGTGGCAGATGATGATGAGGATGATGAAGAAGCTCCTCCCCCTGTTATTGCTCCACGGCCAGATCACACAAAATCGGTGAGCGGCTATAAAATTTACTGTGCAGTCTTGCATTTCTCAGTATTGCAGAAATTTTCCTCCTTCTGCTTTCTCACAAAGTGTTATATTAGTGAAATAAACTGTTTTTAGGGAAAAGTTCTGGTTTCTGTTTGAATCCTGAAGTTAATGCTGATTCGTTTGTCTGCTTGTGTTGAAAGTATCCCCTTATGCTTATTCTCCAACTCAACGTGTGAGGAGGAGGCTTTTTAGTCTTAAAAAACTATAGCTCGTTTCTGTAACTTTGCACAGTACAGTGGTACAAGTGCAGTGTGTTTGATTTTTTTGTATTTTATTTGATTGCACTTTGATAGCCTCACCAAATATACTACCTAAACCCAAACCAATTCAGATTTAAGATTTGAAAGCTTATTTCACTCAGTCAGCAGCATTACATGGAAAGTTAAATACTTAAGAAGTTGTTCATTAAGTTTTAATGTAGTTGTCCTGAACTACACACCTTGTTAATAACGTTCCAGGGATCCACTTACGCCAGCTCATTCTTTTGACTGTGGTAGGCGTGCACTTTGCAGCTCTGTTGCCCCCTTATTCTTGTTCCAGGAATTCAACTGTGAACTGTGTTTCTTTGTCAAGTGATACTGCTTTATAATTGCCCACTCTGGGTATGCAGACATATGAAATGTGACAGGTTTACAGTTTGATATTTCTAGAGTAGCTGCATATGTTGTCTGTGAACAGCTCAGGAGGAAATTAAATAAAGCTCCAAAAAAAATCCCCTAAATTGGGGGCAACTGGGAGATTCTGAGTGTCTCATGCTTCTTTTCATGGCAAAGCATGAATCTTTTTCCTTTAGATCTTAGTAGTAGTTGATCTTGCTATTAAATAGTGATTTCTATTCTGTTAACTAGCATGGGTTATAAAGAATAAGCAGGTAGAAAACCCACAACCCCCCCAAAAAATCTGTGGAAGTTAATCTCCTAGCATCCACGCTGTTCAGGAGGTGCCTGAGTCTTTCTTTCAGAGGTCGGTAGGGTTTCCAGCATTTTGACTTACTGGTCTTTAAAGTTTCTTGAGTCTAATTTCTGCCTCCAGCCTATTATGTGAAATGGTGCTTAGGGATCTTTGGAGAGCTGTGATTGTTTTCAACTGAAGGTCAGTGATTGCAAAGAAAATGCTCAGGTAAACGGTCTCTCTTAACAGATTTATACACGGTCTGTAATTGACCCCATCCCTGCACCAGCCAGTGACACTTCTGTTGACAGTGTGACGAAATCAGGTGATAAGCAGAAAAAGAAGACCAAAATGTCAGATGAAGAGATCATGGAAAAACTAAGTAGGTGTTTTTTATTTCAGATAAACAAAGGCTTTAGAACTGGGAGGGGAATATTAAGCTTTTGCCCTCATCCTGATTGTTGTGTAAGGGACATGTGAATACTGTGCTTGATTGGTTTTGTGTCAGTAGCTGAGAAAGCTGCATTCAGAAGTGTTGTCTGTTTTATATGCTTTATATGGGTAAAAAAAAAAATTTAGAACAGTTTTTTTGAATTGAATTTCAGTTGGGATAATGTGATCTGTGTGTGTAATACAACCATAATAACACAAAATAGTTTCTGCTCTTGCTTGTTCCATAATCATCTTGAAGATAATTTCTCACCATATTAATGTTACTATGCTTAAGTTGAGAACTGACTAGTTGCTGGACTAGATTAAAATATGACTAGTTTCTGGACGACGCTAAGCTAATGGATTTGTCATAACCTCATACTGGGTTTTGCTACACAGATTATCATTAAATTGAGATACTAGGGGAAGTAGCATGATCTGTCTTGTTAAGAGTATAACCTCGCATAAGGATTGTCTGAAGTTGGGCTGTTTGCAGCTGGAACAGGAAGATTTGGCTGTTCATGCATCAGCTTTTAGTACTTGAGCTAACCTGCTCTTGGCCAGGCCAGCCCTAATAAAGGGGGACAGCAGGACTGACTTGTTTTTTTGATGTTTGTGTGTGTGTTTTTTATTTTGTTTTGGTTTTGTTTGTGTGTGTGTGTTTGTTTGTTTTTGTTTTGTGTTTTGTTTTGTTTTTTTGTTGTTTTTTTTTGTGTGTGTGTGTGTTTTTTTTTTTTTCAGGAACTATTGTGAGCATAGGAGATCCCAAGAAAAAGTACACCAGATACGAAAAAATCGGACAGGGGTAAGTGTTCACCCCAACTTTTATTCCCAGTGAGCCAGTGTTAAAAGTGGTGTACTGTCCTCTATCTGATACTGTCATGTAGCCACCGCTTACTGAAGCAGGAAGAAATGCTGGCTGTATTAAGCAGTGATAAACAGGCAGTGAAGGCTTTGCACCGTGGTGGAAATTTTGAATTGTGTCTTTTAATGCAGAAATGTAGCTCTGACTTCTTTGTGGGTATATTTAGTCCTCTCCTCTCCCAATAAGATGCGTTCATCCATTTTGTAATATGACTGCTGAATAGCATGAGGGCATGTCAGAGGGCATGTGTGCTAAACTAACGATACTGCCTTGACTAAGTTATTATTCTAGTGGTCCTCTGAATCCTTCTGAGAAAAAAATATAGATGAGTTACAGCTTTTCCAGCTTAGATTATATATATATAAATATGTATGCCTAAATCCTACTGTATACTCTCCAAACAGGTCTGTGTGTGTTTGTGGGCAGGCTTCCCCTGGGGGAAAATGGAAAGTAATACCCACTACAGAAAGGGCTTCCCAGCTTATCTGATCATAGGGAGCAGCACAAGTTCTGGGTGCTTAGATGTCCTGAATGCAGGAGGCGTGGCTGGTGTCAGAAGAGAGCATATTTGCCATTAGTTTGATTTGTGTGAACTGACTGGCATTTCTAGGACACCACTTACTTCTAACAGCTGCCTTTTTGATACAGCTCTTGCAACATCGAAAGCTGGCACAGTTTTGTTTTTGTGATTTGTGTGCTTGTGCATGTTTGTTACAGAGAGATGCAACTGACTGTGATGTTTTTCTTCACAGGGCTTCAGGTACAGTTTTCACAGCTATTGATGTGGCAACGGGCCAGGAGGTAAGATTTCTGTGTTCATTGCAATCAAAATACTTTTTCTGTATAAATGTTCTTCTGTAGGTGGCTGAAATTATTTTATTAGTTTTCTTTCTGTGGCTCCCATCTCAGCTGTCACCTCTAAGAAGAATGTTTGTCATAGTCATTTGTAACAGTGTGTGCCTTGTTCTGTAGTAATCAGATGATGAAAGCTAAAAATAGAGTTTTGTCTTTCCAGTGAAAAGCAGAGGGAGTGAGGTGTTCCAGAAATGGGTTTTGAAAACAGTTTATTCTTCAAGAATTGCAGGCAATGGTGTTCTGCATTTTCAGAAATAAAACTTTGTTTAGTCTTTGCACACTTGTTCTCCAGTCCCATCTCAGTAGAGGTGATGGATGCGCTTGTCTATGTGGAAACATCTTGCCTCATGTTGTTCTTTGTTGAAGTTAGAATGCCTTTTTCACATCCTGCTCTTTGCTTTTACTGCTTGGTGTCTCCAAACCCCCTTGGTGAAATTGGTGACATCAGCAGTACTCTGCATGCTTGTCATCCAGTGGTCATCTCTGGTTCCTGGGACTAAAGTTTTAGGAATTATTTGCTTCTTTTTGAATTCAGGTTTCCTTTGTTTTCCTTTAAATATCCACAAGTAGTCATTCCTTAGGTCACTGATAAGTAATTGCCCTTTCAACAGTAACCACATTTATCAGTACTGTAGTGGAGCACCACATCTTGATAAAATGCAAGCCTTTCAATCATCTCGATATGTTGTCTCTTAATTTGCTTTCTACATACTGCAGTACTTCATGTCCTCTTACTGACTGCAAGGTAAATTTTGCAGTCTGGTTCCTTAGACCTACTCTGTGTCTTGTCAGGCAGATGGGCTAACAACTGATGGCTTTCAGTCTTCATCCATTAAATGGATGCAGTACTCTGGCTTCCTCAGTGGTTAATATCTGAGGATAGAATTGGGTGTGTTCAGCGATAAGAAGAGAAGGCCAAAGGAGGATTTCATTGCTGTTTTCAATGCCCTAATGGTAAGGTGTAGAGAATATGGAGCTAGACTCCTCTTAGAGCTACACAATGACAGGACAAGAAGTAACAGACAAAAGTTGCCAAAAGGGAAATTCTGGTTAGATACTAGAAATTTTTTTCCCCTCAGTCAGGATGATCAAACGTGGGACAGGAGCCCAGAGAGGTTGTGGAATATCTGCTCATCGAGATCCCCATTCGAAACTCAGTTGCAGAAGACCCTCAGCAACATGTTCCATGTTGGCTGTCCTTTGAGAGAGGGATTGGACTGGATGACCTCCAGAGGTCCCCTCCAATCTTAGTTATTTTGTGATTCTGTGCCACAAGTTCTCTTCTTTTAATGCCCTTGGCAGTATGGCAATGATAATTTCTACAAGATTATATTGGTTCTTGTGTTTGGTTTTGGACTCATGAGTAGGTTATCTTGTAAAACTCTGAACTGCCTCCTCAGCGTGTTGTAGCTAACATAACTGGGACAGTTCTCCTCCACTTTGAAGTCTGGAATGCTTGCCCTGGTTAACTTATTTCTTGAACAAGATAGGTCTTTATCTTCTCTCTTCTCTCTGGTATAGTTCATTGGCTTAATTGCTTTGAGTGGAATTCATTCTGCCTTATAGCATTCCTCACACCCAAACACTAATTTGGTCAGAAAAATTAGAAAAATTAATTGCCTTGCCTTGCATTGGAAGGCTTATATTTTCTCTCTTAGCTGCTACACAATTCTCTTCTGCTTTAGGCCTGTTGATATGAAATGGGGCGAGTGTCTTTTTATCTCCTGAATGTTTCTTTTACTGTCTGCCTGGCCTTTGTTATTGTTTGTGAATCTTTTCAGCTGCAAGAGGATGATGTTGGCTATGGGTTGTACGCTCATCAAGTTGTATTCTTTTAAATTGTATGCTGATAAATAATTTGCCAGATGCAGGCTGTGCTAAACTCTGTAATCCTGTTACCGAATTTCTTCTAACTTTTCACTGTATTAAGAATGACCAAAAAGTTTTGATACTCTGGTTTGAGTGATTGCTGTTTTATTTTGTCCTATCAGGTTGCTATTAAACAGATAAACCTGCAGAAGCAGCCTAAAAAGGAATTGATTATTAATGAGATCTTGGTAATGAAGGAACTAAAGAACCCCAACATAGTCAACTTCCTGGACAGGTAAATGGAGACGCTGGCTGATTCCTTCATTCCCAAGGGTTTCAGGAGGCTGTAAGTTGATATACTTACACAGACCTGGATGTCCTGTACCTAAGGGTCTTATAAGCAAATGAGACTGTATTTAGACTGACATCTTTAAAAAAAACAAAACAAAACAAGAAGATTCAGTAAGAAGGGTTCTGTCATGAATGCAGTGCTACGTGTAGTTGGGGATCAGTGGTGAACAAGAGCAAAGCTGGAGCAACACTTGTGTTGTGCATGAGATATGTAGGGTGTTATCCTGCCCATTTAGGTAGTAAGAAGCATGTGGCTTTCATTGTCAGCACTTACATTTCAGGCTACCTTCCAGAGATTAACTCTTTACTGTTTCTTGAAGTGCTTGTGAATCATTTCACTGACCAGCTCTTAGTCATTTTTCAGTTCTCGATCTCTTGATGGCAAATGGGCATGCTTTTTGTTTTCTGTCTGTAGTTACCTCGTAGGAGATGAATTGTTCGTGGTGATGGAGTATCTAGCTGGAGGCTCACTAACAGATGTGGTCACAGAAACATGTATGGATGAAGCACAGATTGCTGCTGTTTGCAGAGAGGTGAGTGTTGTAATTGATGGATAGAGGAATGAAGGTGCACTCTATTCCCCTTGATTTCGTCGTATACTTAGGACTAATTACGACAATTGCTGTTAGGAATTGCTGAATTAGGAAGAATGAATATGGAGAACAAAGAATGGATACTGAGAGGAGAAATCAATATTAAAATTACAGAAAATAACAAAATGAGTTTAACTCGGAAAATTGGGGGTTTGCAAGTTGTAACACAGAAGAGCTATGGCAGTTTTTGAGGTGGGTGATTGGGAATGTTAGGTGGTGTGGAGCAAATTAAGATTTTGGGTTTTGGTACCTGGGTTGCCTAATCCTGCTGACAATATTAACAGAAAGATGATAACAAGGTGGACTGAAGTTCAAGGAAGAGCAGAGAAGTTTAGCAGCTGGAAAGGTTGTCTTTTTAAACTATGAGGAATAGGCAAAGGAACCAAAAAGAAAACTGAGTATTCATGTAGCGGTAATGCAGAAAGAGAAGATGTGAACTTATTTAAAAAAAAAAAAAAAAAAAAACCAAACCAAAACAACAACAAAAAAAACCCCAACCAAACAAAAAATCCCCCAGAAAAAAAACCTGAAAGCTTCAGAGTGTTTTCCATAAGGAAGAAAGGGAACTGTGTTTGCTTAGAGTGTGCAAGTAGATCTCGTGAAACAGGAATACTTTAAGAAGCAGGTACTAAAATAGAGTTGAACTTGATGCAGACTATCCCTTTCTCATTTTAGTAGTTTTCATAGTGTATGAAATCTATAGTTCTCTGAAAGTTAAGCTTTCTTTATGGATATCTCAGAAAAATAATTCTCCAGAAGATTGTAGTTGGAATAATTTTAAGATTGCAGTAAGATTTCAAATGGAAAAGTTAAAAGTAGCTGATGTCACCACTTATCAGTGGTTTCTGCCCTGAGTCAGAGTGCTGGCATCCAGCTCAGGCTTGATTTATTGTGGCAGAAGGAGAAGTAATTGTATTATCTGCTGTGCAAGAGAAACTTAGGCTTTTAAAAACCCCATTTGACTACATCAACATGACATCTGCTTTTGATGACTCACGCAAAGGGAGGGGATGTAAAGCAAACTCTTACGTTAACGTGTATGGACAGGTAATGGTTTCTAGAGAAACCGGAGCTGGAAGCAGAGAACTGAAAGTAACTATTTACTGTAACAGTAATTAACTTCTCTGAGGAAAAAGTCTAACATTGAACTATTGTACTTCATCAAAACTCGGCTGTTCAGGATGTTAGATACGCTTCATTTTGCAAATCAGTGCCACTTTGGCATCCAGCAAATGGCGACACAACAAACTCGCTGGGGACTACATCCATGCCAAGTTGCAAATGATAAATGTTTTGCTTATATTAAAGGAGAAAAATACTACTTTTTTTTTTTTTTTGGCATTTTATTCTCAAATAGCCAAAGTAAATTTTGGTTTTAGGCAGAAACTTAGTGTGAAAAGTTTTAATCGAAAAACAGTGCAAAACCAGTATTAGTGACTTTGATAGTGAAAATGTTTTACAGCCTTTGCTGTGGGAGGTACTGCATGCATGTTGAGAATGGAGTCTTACCAGTTCCTCTTGATGAGACTTCAGGCTAAAAAGCTCTCACTTTATCCTTTATGTTTTTTCTGTAGAATTTGTGGGATGTATCAAAAGAGCATCTTGGGTGATGATGAGTTTAATTTATGGATTTGTTAAGATAACAGAGAAACTTCATGGTTAAATGATTTTTGACCTCCTGAGATCTGGAGAGTATTTTTTAGCACAAGAGCTTCCTCTGCTGGTTATTTTAAATAATACCTGTTATATTTTTGCACTCGGCCCTGGCTGAGGCTGTAAGCATTGATTTTGAGTTTGTGTTCACATACGCAAATTGGGTTTCCATATGCTGAATTTTTTTTTTTTTCCTTCCCATCCAGTGCTTGCAAGCACTTGAGTTCCTACATGCCAACCAGGTCATCCACAGAGACATTAAGAGCGACAACGTGCTGTTAGGAATGGATGGATCAGTTAAACTAAGTGAGTACCAGACAATTGTTTCAATGTTCTGCTTTCTCTTTCCCAGTGAACTTTGACTCGGAGAGTGTAAATCAGTAGAAGAGGCACTGGCAGGGAAATTTGAGGTGAACTTTAACAGAAATTCATTCTGTGTTATAAAATGTGTAACTTGTGGGTAGCAGGTATTGGAATTCTGAGGGCCCTAAGACTAAGGCTATGAACATGTTAGACAAGAGGAAGGATGTTGAAGCAAACCTGTTGCCACATGAATCCGTTGGTAAATATGAAGTAACTGGCACCAGACGGTGAAGCAAAGATGTGAATGATTGCAAGAGAAAAGTTGCAGCTAACTGCATTTGCTTTGTTAGTCTCCTCAGGTTGTCATGACTTGCTTTTAATGTTTTGCCCTTTTCATTAGAAGGTCACTAACAAGAAAAACGTACGTTATTAGCCATTTATATTGCAGTCTAGTCCTACGCTGCGCCTGTACTGGGTCTCCTTTTCTTGGACTGAAAGTGTAACACACTTTCATTAATATAATCATGAAATGACAAAAGAAACTACTTGCTTTTCAAGCAGTTGTTATGCATGCATGGACTTGCGTACAGTAAGTCAGTTTCTGGTGTGTGTAAACATGTGTGGCAATAAAAAAAATGTGAAACCACTTGAAGAAGCTGTCAGGACTGTTGAGAGGTGCATAACCTGACTTCTTGGTATGTAAGAATGTGCAAAGCATAAAGCAACAGAAGAGTTAAGGGATGGTGTTTTTACAGTTGGATAGGAATTTGAAATACCATGAAAATGTATCTCAGCAATATTCCTTAGTCTAGATGGTTTGCAGTCTCATATTGTTTATGAGATGGAGTGTGAAGAAAGGTTACAAGCGACATGATTTGCTTGCCAGGATTGTTGGATGCACTGCTTGCTTGCATAGGAGGTTTTATTTTTTGAAAAGGTGTGATGTGTTTGCACAAACTGTGTGGATTCACAGGCTGAAGTTAAGCGAATAGTTACAGCAGAGGATGCGACTGAGAAGAGTTAGCTGGAGAAGGTTCAAAAATGTAAGAGCTGTCAAAGCAGAGTGGCAAAAGGAGAGGGCTAGCAGCCTATGTAAAGAAGCATCAGCCCCGGGAGATTGGGGGGAAGGTGAGGAGGAGGGAGAGACAGGGGGAAACAGGAGTCAGCTGTAAAAATGTCCTGCATGAAGGAGGGAAGTATTGTAATCAGGGTTGAGACTACTGGCTCATCTCTGGCTGTGTGATTATAGAGCGTCTAGCCGTTGTTTAGGGTGGAGGGTGGAAGAAGTAGCTCCTTCTTTTCAAGGTAGTTTTCTCTGGAGGGGTTTGGCTTCTGGGAGACTGGTGACAGGAGAAGTAAGAGACCAGTCTACCTCTCACCACTGCATACCTACACACACTACTGGTTGGTGAAACTGGCTTCTGCACTTGCCTGTCTTGTCTCTCCTTGCTGATGACGTGGTGCTGAAGGCCTCGTTGGTAGGCCAGGAGACATAAACTGCTGCTGCTTCTCTGGTGTGTTGTGTTCACTGAAATAAGCTGTGCTTTGAATTGAGTACGACACCTTGATAAAGGCCAAGAAGTGCTAGCAGGGAACTTGGTGACTCCTACTGCTTTGATTTTGTTTGCTTGTTTGGTTTTGGGTGTTTTTTTTTTTTGTAAGGCAGCATTTTGAGAATCATGGTGGGGGTAGTCCTTTGTTAAATTGTCCTCTTGGTGTAACTTAGCACTTTCTTGACTGTGGCTCTTCTGTTAGCACTGCTTGGCATAACACTTTCAAAACCAACTCAGAATTTTAAATTCTGTCTCCTTCTCTCTCTCTCTCTCTCTCTTTCTCTCCCTTTCTCTCTCTCAAACTCAGTGTCAATGATAAGGTAATATCTGTCTCCTGCCTTAACTGTGTTCTTATTGATGCTTTACATGCCTGGGATGTGGGAGTGCTGCAGCTGGATAAAGTAACATGATGGAACATGCATTGCTGCTGCACCTGAAGGCTATAGGAATAGGTGACTTTTCTTGTTTTCTTGAGTGTGGTTGTTCTCTTTGGTAGTTACCTTGTGGAAAGGTTTGTTTGTCCAGGTTCCTTCTGCTGAGTGGGGTAGCACTTCATTTATCTGAAGCCTTGTTTCCATGTGTCTGTCAGCTGTAGTACCTGTATTTGATGGCCAAATTGCTGTGAAATGTTGAACTCAATAGCTGCGCAAATCAGATCTGTTTAGCAGGGCAGAAGCCATGGTTTGTGGATTTTTTTTTTTCTGGTTCAGGCTGTATAACATATTATGCACAGAACACTTGCCTTCTGTATTCTGCTTGATTACTTTTTTTGGCTGTTACCAGTCTAGGATTTTTGAAGGGAAGGACTAGGCAAAATACCATTCTTCTGCGGGGTAATACTTGTGGCCCTTTTCTGGAAGACAAAAAAAAAAAATCTTCATTCCACAGAATTCTGCCCTGCTTAAACACCTTCAGGTTTTGTATCTATCTTGCACGTTGGATTTTGTAATATGGAAAATGTAGTGGGGGGGTTAAAAAAAAAAAAAAGAGACGCCCTCCCAAGCCCATCTCAAGTGTAGAGGAGTAAAATATATGTGTAGAAGTAGAGAAGCTTTCTAGGAAGCCCACTTACTTGGGATGCACCAATTTAACTTTTTAAAATTCTGTTATCCTACAGCCGACTTTGGTTTCTGTGCTCAGATCACCCCAGAGCAGAGCAAGCGCAGCACTATGGTTGGAACTCCTTACTGGATGGCTCCTGAAGTGGTCACACGGAAAGCATACGGCCCTAAAGTGGATATCTGGTCTCTGGGTATCATGGCAATTGAAATGGTGGAAGGAGAACCCCCATACCTCAACGAAAACCCCCTGAGGGTAAGAAGCCCAGCTGTGGCGAGAACCGCGGGTGTTTACTCTATGAACATTTTCAGTGGTTGTTCATTAATAGTTATCTACATCAAAAAGAGAATGAAAAGAAAAAAATCAACAAGCTTTCAGCAGCGCAAGAAAATTCCTCCAAAAGGAAGACAGCTGTCTTGAATTTGCAGTCAGCCCTACCCAGAATTTTTCTGTTTAGGAGATGAGTACCTGCTTGTAACTAAAACGTTGGACTTTGAACTCAGTTTTCTGTGATAGTTTAGGGAAAGCAAATCCATCCACTGCCTTACGAAAAATGCTGTTTGTGTCAGAATCAGATATTTTCTTTGCCAAGGTGGGTATCTGTTGCCAAAAGATTTTGACTTTTTTTTGCTACTAGCAAGAATAGGTCATGACTGCCTATAATTGTGGCTTTTTTACAGTTTTTCATCTCATCAGGGAGAGAATTCGGCTGAGCCCTTTGAGCCCTTTCTGATTTAGACTGAGGGATAGCTGCTAGGCAGGTCAGTTTGGCATCTTTTAAAGATTTGGCTTGGTTATACAATATTCCTCATTTTACAGGCTTTATATTTGATAGCAACTAATGGCACACCAGAGCTGCAGAACCCTGAGAAACTGTCCCCAATATTCCGGGATTTCTTGAATCGATGTTTGGAGATGGATGTAGAGAAAAGAGGATCAGCCAAAGAATTGCTACAGGTGAGATTCAGCTGCTTCTCACAGTCTGAGACACAGAAGCCACAAGTAAGGTCAACCTGTGATAAACTGCACCCTCTTTTTTCTGTTTTATTCTGAGGACTAGTGGAGAGCAGTTGGTGGGAACTACAGTCATCAAAGACTGTAATATCTACTCTGAAGTTTTTCTCTCAGTAACCTGGGACTTGGTTCTGCTACTGCTAAAGCCTCCAGCAATTAGTGAACTTACTGTAATTGAGCCGTTGAAGTGAGCAGAATGGGACTGAGAGAGGATGTTTGAGCAGGAAACCTCTTTGTAGTGAATTATTGGAAAAGGAAAGGGCCTAGGATCTTTTGGGATGAGGAGGAATGATTATCAGGCTTGAGGTGCTCTGGGTCTGTCCCTTCAGGAGCTGAGCGTTGACAGCGTTTGCATTGCTTGTCATATCTGGGAATGAAAAGGGCTGTGTAGATATATGGCTTTTTAAACCGTGTCTTTCACTAATTTACTGTTTCTCTCTTTCTGGCAGCATCCCTTCTTGAAACTGGCCAAACCTCTGTCTAGCTTGACGCCACTGATCTTGGCAGCCAAAGAAGCAATGAAGAGTAACCGCTAACATTACTGCCACAGCCTTCATCCTTTTTTTTTGTTTGTTTGTATTTTACAAATCTTTATAATATATGAAATTGTTACACTTCTGGGAGGAGGGAAGGGATTTTTTGGGGGGGAAAACGTCTGCAAAAGGGAAGAAACTCTCATCCAGAAGACACCCAAAATCAGTTGTGGTGACTCTAGCGATCCCTGTCTGGGGTCCAGAAGAAATTGAGGACTGAAATACTGGCCTTTTTTTTTTTTTCTTTTTTTAAATTTCAGACAGCCCAGAAATGCCACTTACTGTGCCCAGGGTTTTAAGGGTTTTTAACAGCTTCGCTGTAACAGCTCCCGTTCATTGTACCCTTCTGGGTACTTTCAATACTTGAATGACAGATTCAAGCTTTCGGAGAGCAGTACTAATTTTACCTGCTGATCTCTTTCACTATCCTCTTCCTCCCCTCTACCTGTTTACTTTTAAATTGCTCTAGTAAGCTCTCATATGACTAGATGTACAGCAAGTGTGACAAATGTGAAGGTACATTTTGCCCCTCACTTTTACAGTTTAGCTGTCACTGTACTGTAGAATTGACAACTTGGCCACTTAAAAAAAAAAAAATCGTAATGTATTGAGATGTTTTTCACTTTTTAAGACAAATATGGGGAGAGGGAAGAGGAGTATTCAGCTGTTTCTCATATGCCTGTGCTCTGTGGACTTTTAATGAAAGATGTGGCCTCTTTGTAGAAACTTGATTGGTCAAGTCTTTGGATGTCGGTTTATGGATATGTAGGTAGGGGTCAGATACTTTATTTATGATCAAATGATCAGCTATAGTCAGGGCAAGAAAAAAATTCCAGCTGTCTTCCTGTCTGCTCTTTTTTTCCCATTAGACTTGCTGGCCAGAAGCTTAAGGGATAATGTGCTTGATGCGGTGGGTGGTTCAAAAACATGTATTGTATCTGTGCTCTGACTTGGGCTTTGGAAGTTATGCTGGTGCCTTTGACTTTTTTATTTTACGTTTCCCTTCTTTGTATCAAATACATTTTTGTATATGTTGTAATTTTTTCCCCCAAGCAAATAATGCATCAACCTACGGAGTTGTCAGAGTTTAAGTATTAGAGCTATTTTTTCCAATTTTTGTATGTGCTCCATTTGTACTAATGAAATCAGAAGAACAAATAATCGGATCTGAGGACACTGAAGATGCAGGATTTTTTTAAATAGGATTCAAACAGAAGAGTATGAACACCTGGAAACGCCAATGCCCTGTTGTGAGAAGATGAAAGCTGAGGGGAGAACAGTGCTGTCAGATGTTCATGGGGCTTAGTTGACCGGCTAGTTCAAGGCTGAGGAGACGTGACGTGCCACACCGATCCTTTCTCACTACGGACATTGTACCAGCTAGAATGGCTGAAGTCAAACGTTCAATGCAAGAAAAAAGTGCCTCCCTCTGAAGGACAGTGAGCAGCTTGAGCGGTTGAGTTCTTGGGGTGTTAGCAGGGGCAAGCGTGGAAGAGCTGGTGCCCCTGGCCGCTTCTAGCGCTACAGTCTATGCATTTCAGCTTCCCCAACAGTTTAACGAAGAGCCAACTGTAGTCACAATGTGCCAAATGATTCTGTGAAAGAGAACCACCATTACTTTAGTGGGATTTTATTGCATCCCCAGTGGGGCAGGACCTGGGACAGATAGGCTTGAGGCTGGGTATGGAGAGAGAACCCTGAATAAATGTTTTTTTTTGCACACTTTTACAAACATTGCTGGCAGGAAGGTAGAAGTAATTCTCAGATAATTTCAGTGTTTGTATAGCGATAGAGGTAACTATGGTTTGGGGACTGGTAGCCAAGGTATGACAAAACCCACTTGCAGCTGGGAGCGGCCGGCCAGAGCAGTGGTGTTGGTGTTGGTGTTGGTGATGGAGGGGAAGCGGGGCCGTGGTCTCCCTGCGGCTCGCTGGCTTCTAGGAATCACTGTGGTACCAACAAGGCACCTTGTTGCGCAGGGCACTGCGGTATCGTGGTCCAGCTTGTGCTCTGGTCTCGCGTGGTAGTGAGAATTTACATCAGGTCATCGATGTTAAAATGGCTCCGTCACAGGAGTAAATCCCGCTGGCTCTAAGCGTAAGAACAGTTACGGTTTTAAATTCGAGGAAGCGTCTCCTTCCAGGCAAGGAAACCTAGATGCATTGCCAGGCAAAATGTATTGTGAGCCATGGATGCTGTGAACACTGTCATGGTGATACTCCCGGTCTGAGTGCATATGGCTCCCTTGTCAGATGAAGTACCGAGGAGGCTTGGCTGAGAAAAAAACCCAACCCTGTTGTACCAATGATTCCCTCTTTGTCCATTGCTGGCAATGGACTTTGTGAAACTTCTTGTGCCAGAGTTAAACTGGGAGCTTTTCTTTCTTTCTTTCTTTTTTTTTTTTTTTTTTTTTTAAATGGCACACTCTAGACAGTAAGAACTTGTGTTAAATTTAGATTTTTTTTTTTAAAAGAGAAAACCACAAAATCATAAGTAATTTTAACTTATTAGTTCACATTTATTGATGAATGCGAATGGTTTAAAACGTGTTACAAAATTTGTCCAATTTAGTCTACTTACAAGGTGATTTCCAAACTTTCAGCCCTCTTAGCACGCAAAACTTGGCCCAATCCAGAAGTTACCAAAACATATCTCGGCGCTCGCCGTGCGACCTGGGAAGACGTTTAGCTCTGAGGCTGAGGAGTGGCCCCAGCTCCCCATCCCCGCGCAGCAGCTTTGTTGTCGTGTAGCGAGGTTTCTCAGCCCCCGCTGCCAGAAATCGGGGTCAGAGATGGAGCTGGCAGGAAAGGAGAGCCACGAGAAGATTGCCGCGCTGTGCTTTTGTGTCTTAGTGGCTCAGGCATTGCTTTTCTAACGATGTCAGCTGGTTGCATCTGCAAGGTTAAAAAATGCAAGCTGTGGGGTGTTTTTTTTTTGTTTTGTTTTGTTTCCCCCTCCATGGGAGCAGATGAGCGTCCTTAAGACTTGCTGCAGGGCTTCTCAACTCTGCTGTACCACCGAGGCCAGACGGCCACCAGCCAGAGTTCCACGCAGGTGCTGACAGGGGAAGGATTGCACCTAGAGGTGCTGGGGCTCCCATCTGTCTTGCTCACTCTGAGGTGCCAGCAAAAGATCCCGCGTCGGGATCGAACAGGCACGGGATGCGCACCGAAGCGGGGCGGTTAGTTGGGTGTACGGGGCTGGGCAGCTTGTGGCTGAGATGCAGGGGAATGTGTGGCTCCTGGGATTTTCTTGCTATCCTAGGACAGACCAGACCTCAGTAAAAGCAACCACGGTGCTGGGGACGTGCACTTCGAGGCGCTTTAGGTGTTAATGAGACTAATTGTGGGCTCATCCCACCCCCCACCCCCCCCCCCCCCCCAGCTCTCTGGTGCAGGGATGTGCAAAGGTGCGGGTAGAGCGGCTGGGTCCCTCTGCCAGAGGGGGTGGCGAGGGGGCTGGGTGGGAGCAAGGAGGTTGTTAAGGGTCTCTCCAGCTGGAGGTGAACAAATAAATGTCTCTGGTCCATTTTCCGCTCTGTTCTCACGCTGTCAATGGAAATGGAAGTAGGTGCAAGCTTTCTTTTTATTTTTTTAACTGTCTTCGGATTTTAATGTTGCCTTTTGTGTAATTTAATCCCATTATGTTATTTAATTGTTACTGCAATATTAACTACTGTATTTGTTGACTTTGTTTAATAACTGTTCTTTCAGGGCTAGAAATAAACTTTTAAAAAACATTTGGGTTTTCTTCCCCCCCTTCCCCGTCATGAATTTATACCTTCTAAGACAAGAGTAGGTGAAGAGAGTCCATGTTTAGATGTCTTAATGAGATTAACAGGATGTATTTGTTTGTAATTAGGCTTCTTACGATTGCTTTAATTATGATGGATATAATTTGATGCTACACCAGCCTGTCCTGTTTCTTTTAAAACTTTGTTCCTCATCAGTGTCTGTGCCGACCTCGCGATAACCGCAAGCTTTCCTCGCTGCCACGGGCCGCTGGCAGACGCTTATCCCTCCTGCAAAACACTCCAGATTGCTGGTGGGAGGAGGGCAGCTCTGAAAGGCCCTTTTTTCACCCACTGCAGAAGAGCAATCCCTCGCTCTTCTTGCGAAGAGGGCGAAGCAAAGACCAGCCTGGTCCGTCACAGGCGCATCATCCGCCCTCCGTTCGCCGTAGGGCAGCGGCTGGGGTGGGACCGATGGGCCGGTTAACTGCGACGGCGTTGCAGTAACTATTCCGAGCAAGGCTGCTTTATTGCATCGTGACTGTCGTCCAGTGTCCTGCGGGGAATGAGCTGTCCCGCTACCTGCTTGGAAGACGTGGCTCTGGGCTCTGCACCACCTCCCCGCTGAGCAGCGTTCGACCGGCGGGGCCGAGGACTTGGGGCGAGGTGGATGGGACCTGGTGGTAGGCCGTGGAGGCTCGCTCGAGTTTTGCATCAAAACTACAAAAAAGTTCCGTGGCGTGCTGGCGTGGGCGGTCTAGCTAAAGAAAAAAAGACATCTAAACGAATTTACTTCGGGGTTGAGACCGGTTCAGTGGAAATCCAGATAAAGTCTCTGTCTTGGTTGTGAATGTCAAGGACTCCTTGCGTCGTGTGTTTCCCGTGGGCTACCGGGAAATGGTCTCTTCCCCTTTCTTGCATGTTGTACAAGCTTTGCTCATACCACTGACAAAGGGAAATGAAGAAACCGCTCGTCTTCAGAAGCCTTTTGAACCAGACACAAGAATGTTGTTTTGCACAAAGCACTGTCTCTTCAGGTTAATTTGTTGTAGTAGCTTTGTCTTTATATATAATTGACCCTTTATGCATTTAAATTGTTGTTCTCCAACTCGGCGTTTAAGTGATTTTGCATTTAATTTATGGGGGAAAAAGGTGACGAGGAGGGAGAAGGTGCTTGGTGGAACTCACTGATTGTCTGGGTGTTGATACTTGTGCTGCTTGGAGGAAGGCAGGGTTTTGGACGAACGTGGCTTGCACAAGTTGCAAGTTGCTAGTCCTTGATAAATCCTCTTAAGTCTTACGTGAAGTTGTTCAGCCCTTGCATATACCTGGCCTAGACTAAAGCCAAGAGCAGCCCCGTCTTTCTGGATCTGTTTATTCAAGATTAGGTATTTAAAACACTGTTCTTCAGGATAGTAAAGTTGGGGGCAACAATTTCTCCCATTCAGGGCTACTGTTTGGTTGAAATGAGTCTTCAGCAAAGCTGAGCGTAATTATTTGGACTCTGCCAGCAACATATTGGTTAAAACCAGGGTGGCTGAGAACTGAAGAGGATCTTAATTCCTAATTAGCATTTTCACAGTGATGCCTGAAGAAAAGTGTTGAGTTTCAGTGCGATTCCGGTGCCTCGTGTGTGAGTACAGCAGTTGCCTGCAAGTGCCTGCTCCCAGGGCTTTGTACAGCGGCATTTTTTTTCCTGTTTTTGTAACTTGCATTTTGCTCTGGAGATTGTTTTTAATAAAAATAGTCATCCTCAGTCATGTGAGGAAAAGTACGTGAAACTCTGCTGAGCTCAGCTAATTTCTTGATGTTGCTCTCCAGATGTGTGGAGGAAGCAGGTTTTTCCAAGAGCTTTTTTCCCTGCTTTGAACTCCAGCCTAAGGAAGGATTTTTTTTGTTGTTGTTGTTCTTGAGGGGGAGGGAAATACCAACAAGTGGGAACAATGAATTTCTGACTGTAATTTCTCTACCTACAGTCTGTTTCAAGGGAGGAGGGCAGTGCCGATGCAGCTTCTCATGCTGTCGTTCCCTTATTGCAGTGATGATACTGCTCTTTTCCCATTTCTGTCTGCTAGCTGCTGTCTGTAGGGGGAGTAGCTTCCAGCACACCGTAACTTCATTTCAAATCCCATTTACCTATTGACCTGATGATTGAAACGGCGTGTAGGGAGTGATGATTTTTCTTTTTCGTGGGGTTTGCCCACTGGGAAGTTAAGGATTGCTCATTCTCTTCAGCATACTGAAAGGCCACCAGACTTCTGCTTTGGAGTTGTGTCAAGTCAGTAGAGAGGAGGAGGGGACTGGAGTAGCAGACAGTGTGTCTCAATGTCTCTGGTGTTTGCTGAAGGTCTTGTGAAGAATGAACCTGGCTTGCTCTGACTGTGGATCAACGCTGATGCGACCCTGGGCATCTCCACAGGATATTCTGGAGGGGGAACAGCGTACCCATACTGGGCACAGGGGTGACCTTCCTAGGGACAGATGTCTCCCTTGAATTCAAGATACCTAGAGCCATCTTTTGTTATTTTTTTCCCTCCCAGCAAACGCTTGCTCTAAGGATTCGGGTCTTTTCACGAAGCACAGCTAACTCCTGGGTCTCCTTTTCATCGGGTCGCCTGTGGGAGGAAACCTGCTGCTGGGTTCCTGCTGCCTTGTCGCAGCAGCCGATAACAGGTGGCTGCTCTTGGAAAGCTCTTACCCACCCCCCTGCCCAGTAAAACTCTCCTTAATTAACCTTACGGCTGTATTGAGCTGTACCTATTGCTTCTTTGTGGGTGAAAATAGCGTGCTGGGGGGGAGTCAGGGTGGTTCTGTTCAGCTTTTCTCACCCTTCAGTGTTTTTGAAGGGTGTTTATTTTACTTCGCTGTGGAAATGCCCCCTTGTTCCTATCCCATAGCTAAAAAGCCCCACTGAAAATACGTGGATTTTAAGTTGCTGGAGTTCTTTGCAGCCCTGAAAACAAATTTGGTTCAGAGAAGACACTGATGTTCCAGCCACAGGAAAGTGGTTTTCAGTGGGAGCATCTGAATTTTTAGATAGCCTTGTTCCTCAAAGAGCAGCTGTGCAAAGCTGCAGGGACTGCTGAAGGGGTTTTGCCTTTGCAGGGGCCTGAAGATGTGCTCCAGTACAGAGTTTGCAGCGTGGCCCCTTCTGCTGTCGGCAGTAGAGCGAGATAGGAAGGCAGCCGCTTGCGTATCTGTCCCTGGCCTCATTTAATCCCATAATTATCCTCGTAAGCAACAGCTTCCAGCTCCTCTCTCCATCCTGGGTTAAGTGTCCCACAATTGCAGGATGTGCCATGGGCATAATTACAGGCAGTGGATGGGAAATTGTTTTTAAAGACCTCTGAACATTTACTTCCTAAGGCCCAACTCTTGAAACACTTGAAAAGGAGAAGGGAAAAATCAGTTCTTGTGGGAAGGAAGAGAGGTTGGGATTTTTTTTTCCAGTTTTACCATGGGTGTCACGATGTTTTCCATGTCACAGCTGCGTTTGGAGGAAGGGGGTGAGAACACACTTGCTTCTTAGACCTTAGTGCGTGGCAGCTTTCTTTTGTAAGAGTAGCTGGAAATATTAGTGTAAGGGATGTGTGTTGACCACCCCCACCCCCCCCACCCCCTTTTTTTTGTTGATCTGGAGCTCAATGGCTGAGATGCTCTCCAGAGGGGAGCTGTCAAAGCTCTCGTCTGCTCTAGCAAAAAAAAAACCCCAAGGTTCAAATGCTGACGGAAGGGATTGAGACGCGGTACGGGGAGATCTGTGACGTTCCTCTGTGCAAACTGCCCGTCTATCTCCTGCATCCCGTGAGCCAGCAGTTTTCTTCCAGGGACTTGGGTTTTGGGCTGATGTTGCTGGGTCCTTGAAAGGTTTTGCTTCCAAAGGTAGAACTCTACCAGTTTCTCTGCTTTTGAGAAACACAGAAGTAGAGGAGACAGAAATTAATTGGATTATGATGTTAATTTTTTTTGTGGTCTCTTCTGTAGTGATGAGTAGCTTTGTCTGACCGGCACTTTGGTGCTGCCAGAGGTGAATTTTCAAGAGGCCAAAAATACTAATTTCACGATTCTCTCAAAGCTTGCATCATCTTCCTTTATTTGGGCAAGGTCATTTGCTCATTTGAGGTGAAAGAGTCATACTTACCCTGTCTTCCAGAGAGAGAAATGGATTAAAAATGGTAAAATTATGATACGTTTTGAGGCAGACCAACCAAACCCAGGGCAGTTCTGGTGGGGGGAGAGAGGGTTTGGATGCTGGGCTGTTTTGCAGCATGGTCCCTCTCCTTGCTTGGGCTTCCCAAGGTCTCCAAAGCAAATGCTGTGTGCAGCTATCGCTGGGGACCCAGTACCATGCCAAAACCACCCTCGGGTGGGCACTTGGTGATGGAAACAACTATGGGAATGATGAGGGGAGGGAGAGCGTTGCAGGAGGAGATGCCGAGGTTGGCCATGACCTTCACAAACATCTCCAGAATGCCCTACCAAAATGTCACTGTTTTTTTTTTTTTCTGCCGCAGGAAGGTCTATAAGGGAGAGAGGCCGAGCAGCCCAACACCTTTGAAACATACGGTCCTGGTTTCCACGGGTTGGTTCTGTGTTGCTGTAGCCAGTTTGAACTGTATTAAGTGCCTCATCCCTGGCTCAAGCATGCTTCAAGCCCGTGTCTCCTGGCAATTTCTTTTATAAATGGCTAGGGGGGAAAATAAAATGGCATTAATAAAAGCTCTTGGCTCCTTGCATGCGATGGGGCGGTGAGAGGAGTCTGTGTTAACCTCTGGTGCCGCCTGTGCAAGGGTGCAGGACCGGGCTTTGCCCTGGGCATGGTGTGTGCCCAGCAACTGTTTCCCAGGATGTCCCCCTGCTCGTTCCCATGATAGAGGAGCACACCCCGGGCACATTTCTCCCTGCAGCACGCCGGCGATGAAGGAGATGCTATTCTGACTGTAAGGATGGGAAACGTGGGCTCAGGGTGGTGTAATCCCTGCTGCAGAGCAGGGAAGTGTGACCCAAAAGACACTGAATGAGTTGTTCATCTTCTGTTAACCACGAGTCCCCGATAAGACGACGACATCCCCCCTTCCTGCCGTGGCCTGAGCTGCTCTTGTGCTTTCCATCGCTCACTGTCCCCTTTCTTCCCACAGATACTGGCGGTGGGAGTCCGGGGGGTTCCCAGTGACCTGGTGGGAGCTGGTGCTGCGGATGCCACCGCTAGAGTCGTGGATGAAGCAAACACGGCCTGTGTTGCCACCTGTGATTGCTGTCGACTTCATCGTGTATTCGAAGGTCTAACCCGAATGTGGGTTTCAGAAAAGTCGGGTGATGACGACACCATGGGGTGGTTTCGGTGGAGCTGAGAACGATCCTGTCCCCTATATGTTACCAGCAGGAGGAGTTGAAATGTCACTTGCCACTGGAATGCCACCCGCAGACCGAATGGCACGAGCAATTAGCATCACCACCACCAAACGAGGTGAGGTCTTAATAGGGAGCAGTAAGCAAGCTGGGCTTTCAAATTCGGCTAAAGATGAACTTTGCTGTGGCTCAGAGCGGCTCTGCCCTGGAGAAATGTGAACCCTTCGCATGGGTTGCTGGCTTTCTAAGAGTCCCCTCACGTCCCAGGCTTTGGAATTGGGGCAGTAGGTTGCATTTTATGGTGCCAAGCAGAAACGAAATCAAGGTGTTGGCTCCTTCTGGAAGACCTAAGCAGCTCCGGGCTCTCAGGTGTGCACGCTGGGGTTTGGAGGCTCAGTGACTGCGTTGGTGGAGATAACCCCGGACCTGCTTGCTGGAACAAACAACTCGCTGGCTGATCCAGCTGTGGGTGAGTCCATCAGCTCCCTGCACAGCAGCCTTTGCCCCGCAGAGAAGGCAGCACATGTGGCGGTTCCCAAGCCTGTCGGGCTGCGCCACGTTTGCTTACGCATGGCTTTATAAAGAGGAGGAGGTGCAGGAGCTTTCCCTGCTCCTTCCCACGGTTTGGTTCGGTCGCTCTCCTCTGCTTAGCCTTGGCCATGGCTGGCCTGAATGTCTCCCTTACTTTTTTTTTCCTGGTTGTTGGGGTGTGCCAGGCGCTCAGGCGGCTTTCCAAGAGGCTTCTGTCTCCTGGAGCATACGGCTGCCTTGCCAGAGAACTTGCTGGCTCGTTACAGCTGTGCATGAGCTGCCTTGAGCTGAGGATGCTGACGGAGATCGGCCCGTGGGGTGGTGGCTTTGGCCCAGATGTCATCCTGACTCTGCTCTTCCTTCTCTTCACGGTTCACGGTGCCACTCTCGACGGAGCATCCGCCAACCCGACTGTCTCTATCCAGGAGTTCCTGCTCCTTGGGTCCAACCTCGCAGCAACAGCCGCCAAGCTGCTGGCCCAGGGTGCGGGCATGGGGACGGGCTGGGCTCTCACCAAGCTCTACTGGGCGTGGGAACTGACGCCTTTCCACCTCATCCAGAACCTGATAGCGTCGGAGTGCAGCTCCTCCATCCACACGTCTCTGCACCATGCTGCCTTTGTGGAAGGCACCTGCTCTTTCATTTTTCACCTTGTCCTTCTCAAGCTGTGCCGGAGTTACCCGATGTACCGGGTCCCTGCTCTGGCAGCAACCGTCACCTTCCTGACCTACACAGGTGAGCAGCGCTTGCCTTTCTTTTTCTAAGTAATTCAGAAAAATACCTAATTTGTGTGGGAGGAACAGTCCCTTTTTCATCTTGCAAGACTTGAGAGATGACAGTTACCAAGACGTTTGTTTTCTACGTATTTGGGGGAATATTAATTTTAGGATGAATACTGCAGTTTGGGGTATCTAGCAGCTGAAATGGTCAGCCCATGAGAAGCCAAAGCTTACCTCAAAACTGGGAGCGCTCTCTTTGAACGTCCCCTAACACAACACCTCGGTCCCACACCGAACTCTGCTTCCCACAAAGCTCGGCGTGACCAGGGTGGGATTTCCCCATGTGCTGCTATGACACAGCCCCGGGGATGCAGCAGAGATGCTCCCAGCAGGCAGGAGGGGTCGTGGGTCTCCTGGCCCAGCTCTTTGTTGGTCCTTCAAAGGATGGCAAGCGAGACCCATGACCATGTTTTTCTTCTCACGCAGCTGGACCGTTCACAGGGGCCTTCTTCAACCCTGCCCTGGCCACAGCCTCTACTTTCCACTGCTCGGGGAGCACCTTTTGGGACTACGTCCAGGTTTATTGGCTGGGGCCCCTTGCAGGTGAGATCTGCCTGGGAGGCACCAGGGGATGGGGTGGGTGGGAAATGGGCAAGGCAGAAAGGCTGGATGTAACACAAACTGCTGCTGGCAAAGAACTGAACATGGGTCTTGCCAGTGGTAAGGGTCGTTTTTTTTGTCCTGCTTCCCTGTCACTCAAATCATCTCTTTGCTATCCATTTTTTAAACCCACTTTCTACATGGGACGTCATCCTGGGTTTGAGCGAGTGGGGGGTTTTTTTGGTAGCAGGGGAGGGGGCTACAGTGGTGACCCCTGGGAGAAGCTTCTTGAAGTTTCCTCAGCTCCAAGTCGGACCCAGCTCTGCACCAAGGCCGAGCCCATCGGCTGCACCTCTGCGATAACGTATTTAAAAAGGGACCTTGGAGGAGGAGTTGCTGCAGCTGTGTGAACACCAAGGTCAGTGGAGGAACGGAGGAAGAAAGGAGGGGGGAGGTGTGCCGGAGCAGAGACCCCCCTGTTTCCTGTGGTGAGACGGCAGGGCGGCCCCCCCTGCCACCCATGAAGATCTACGGTGGAGCAGACACTGATTTATGGCCTGGGAGGGGCTTTTGGTGGCCGACTAAGGTGTCTATGCCTGAAGGAGGCTGGGATCCTATGGGAAGAAGCAGCCCCTGCTGTTGTAGTTCAGTGCTGGGAGGATTGCAGCCTGCGGGGGTGTCCCACGCCGGAGCAGCTCGGGAAGGGCTGCAGCTGTGGGAGGGACTCCAGTCGGAGAAAGTTGGTGACGCATGCTGGAGCACTGTGGGGAACGCTGCGGCCCATGGGAGGGACTCACATTGGAGAAAGTTTGTGGAGGACTGTCTTCTGTGAGAGGGGGACCACGCTGGAGCAGGGGGAAGAAGTTCCAGAAGCTCCTCCCACCACAGATAGAAGAAGCAGCAGCACTGACTGCACCCCCCCATTCCCTGCCCCTGTGCTTCTGGGGGGAGGAGGTAGGGATATCAGGAGCAGAGCTGAGCCAGGGAAGAAGGGAGGGGTGGGGGAAGGTGTTCTCAACATGTGGTAATGCTTCTCACTGTCCTACTCTGTCTGTTAGGTGGTGGTGTTGTTAGTGCCTGTAATAAATTTATGCTCTTTTTTTCCTTCCCCTAACAAGTCTGCCTTTTGCCCGTGACCATAATGGGTGATTTGCCCCTCCTTGTCCTATCTTGAATCCCAAGCTTGACTTATTTTCTCCTTCTCAACACTGGAGGGGAAAGGGGGTGTGAGCAGCTGTGCGGTGCTCAGTTGCCCTCTGAGCTCGAACCGTGACAGATGCAGGCAAAACTCCTCCCGAGGCCAAAGTTTGGGGGAGATGAAGCAAAGAAGTTTTAGGGCAACAATAGACTGAGCTATGCTGTTGAGTTTTTTCACAGCTTCAGGGTGACCATGGGGAGCTGGATATGTGCTGCTCTGAGCGCAGAGAGTGGGAACAGGAGTCTGCTGGTGTGGTTTATAGCTCTTCTGGGTTAAAACAAGCCTTGCTTTTTTACATTAAGGACACAAGGGTTAAATTGTCCTTAAAGTAATATAGCAAGGGTTTATCAGCTGTCAGTGGGGACTTCAGTGGTGGTGAGCTACTTTTTGGTCACGATGAAGGCTGTGGCATGGACCTGAAAATCACTGCTCAGCCGTGGGGAGGGTGGAGATGCTCTGTGCAGCACACGGAAGGGGTCTGCGGTCTCATTTCAGGGATGCTTGCTGCCCTCTTGCTGTACCAAGGCAATATCCCACGACTCTTCCAGAAAAACCTCCTTTACAGCCAGAAGAGCAAATACAAGATACCCAAGGCAAGGGTGGCAGCGCGCGTGGAGGGTGACGAAATGCAGTGGAAGAGGAAAGAGGAGAAGAGCAATTCTGAGCCTCGGGCCTGAGCCTTGGACGGGGGCCGAGGAGGTCCCTGCAGCCCCTCTCCTGGGAGCAGGTTTCCCAGCGTGGAGGATTTTGTTGCTCATCCCACCCAGCACTCGTCCTGCCCGCTCGGTCCCTACCGCAGGGTGAGATTTTTTTAAAGCACTGCAAAGGAATCCACCGAGCTGGCCTCGCAGGATGGCTGAATCCCTGAGCTCCTTTAGGAATAGCTTTGAAAGTCTCCCTGAAGAGCCTGAAATGTTTCAAGCCTGCATCGCTGGCTCAGTGGGGGGGAAAAAAAACCAACACTTTTGCATAGATCACTGGTTGTCTTATATTGCCAGGAAGCTTACAGAAAGTCAGGACCATTATGTGGGTAGGCTTGAGCAACTCCCAGGTTCTTGCGTTGTGCAACACTTGAAATAATCTGCCCGGGTTTCTTGCAGCCATAAAAACAAAGCATAAACCAGTAACTGCCTTGGAAATTTGGGGTGAGGAGGAAGAAGGCTTCGATCTTTCGAGTTACTAAATGGATATTGGACAAAAATTGGTGTTTTTTGAGTTAAACTGAGGTCCTTGGATGGCACAGGCTGAACCCAGCAATTCTTAGAGAGGAATTAAAAATGCTCCAGGGCAAGGGAGTTCATTGGCCACAGAAGGCCCTACTCCTCTGCGGACGTGGTGCCTAGCCCGAGTTTCATGTGCTGTGGGGCAGCAAGAAACACTGCACAAAGTATCTGTGGTTAAAAAAACGAGACCCAGGCAGCCAGCATGCAGCTGGTGTGGATGAGCAAGCGCATCTTAGGGCTCCTCTCCCTGTCTACATGAAATATTCCTGACAATAAAATCAGGGTTTGTGGAAATAATAATAAAAATAAATGTTGTGGTTGGCATTTGGGTGAGTGATATCATTCCTATGAGCTCTGCGGGGTGGGAGAGATCAGCCCAGCTGAAGATGGGAGATGCCATGGAGATGTCCAAACTGACTCTGCCCTACCTGCCCCTGCTTCTGGAAGGGGGCGTAATTTGGGTGGAAATGAAACACCTGCTCGGTAAATGGGCAATGCCAGGGCACCCCAAGGGTGCTGCAACCTGGGGGTCGCTCTGCGGGGAAGAGCAGGGGCTGGGGCAGTCCCACGGGCAGCATCGCTGGAGCAGGGCTGCTGGCTGTGGCTGGATACTGGGCTGCTGCCCAGAGGTCTCCCCCACCCCGGCTGAAAACAGCCAGTTCCTCCATTTTTGCAGAAAATAGCCAATTTTGCAGGACCTCTCGGGGCAGAAAATTCCTGAGCTATATATATATTCCTGATACACCACAGCTTTTCAGAGCAATTGCTCTGGGAGGGGGGGGGTGCTTTTCATGCAAGTGGGCACAGGGGGTCATGATGCTCTCATTATAAAAGTGTCCCTGCCCTGGGTGACCTTGGCAGGAGCTCGAGCATTAAGAGCTGCTTCTATTTACTGACTTGCAAACGGTGAATAAGGAAGTGGCACCCGCTTCGAATCCGGAGTGAAGGTGTCAGACGCAGGTTTAGGCACCTGGCCACGCAGTGTCCCCTGTCTCGAGCGCCAGCCCTGCTCCTCCCTGCACCCTGCCTCTGTCCCCTGGGGGGTTTTTGAGCGATGAGCTTGGCTACGCTGCCCTTCTCCCTTGCTCCCACGTGGGATTGTCCTCTGGGGTGAACCAGAGGCTGCCCGGGAACCCAGACGGGAGCTGGACCTCTGCAAACCACGAGACCACGGCATGTCCCAAGAGGGAAAATGAGGGAAGGGACCAACGCGGAGATACGTGGACGTGCCTCAGAGATGAAACTTTATGGAACAAAAAGCAGGCAGCAAGTGCCCCAAAAACCAATGCCCCTGCATCATGCCTGGCCGGGTGCTCGGCACTGCCCGGTCCCTTCTGGGGAAGGGCAGTGGGAATGCAGTCTGGCTTTTATCCTGCTTAAAACGTGAGCAGGAGAAGAGGCACCTTTGGGTGGAAACTGAAACCTTTGTCTCCGGGTGGCTGGCCAAGGGACAGCCTGGGATGCTCACATCCCCCCAGCAATTTTTTCTGAACCTCTCTTGGTTTGGAAATCGTGCTGGAAAGCCTGAGATGGGGCCTCTGTTTATCCAAACTGATTTGCTGGCCCTGCTTTTGATTTGAGGATAAGTGTAGGATGTGAAAATTAAGGTTGACTAGCCCACCACAACTCATTCTTGTGGTATTTTTCACCCGGCAGAGTGCAGAACATTCCTACAGCTGCTCCAAGTGGTGGGTTGGGATGTCTGGCTGCAGAGGTGCTCACAAGACGTCTCCCAGATGCACAGATATTGAACTTGCAGCCCGACACTGTGGTGTCGGTGGCAGTTCTGGGGTAGGATGCTGATCCTATAAATGCAGTGTAGGAGTGCAGCATCTGATGGCAGCATGTAACCAGAGTCAGGGCGAAAAAAGACTGGGTTTTGAATATTTTTTTTTTTCCCCCCACGACATTTTCAGGTATTTGAGGTCTGTTTCTTGTGCTGTTGGGGAGATCGTCTGCTGGGCAGATCAATGGAATTAAGGGGAACTTCACAGGAGTGATGGTGAACATTGTTATTTTTAATTAAGAGACTGCTTTTCCAGCAGGGTAGCGTTAAGGCATAGTGGAGGAAAGCCGCAGCTGGAGACAGACTTGTTCCCCAGCTGTGAATCGAGCTCCACAGCTCTGATTTACAGCTCGGCCCCGTGCCGTTGAGATCCCCGGCACGGGGCCGAGGACTTGGGCTGCCCTCCCGGTTCTGCTCCTCACTGCTGGAGTCGGTGCTACGCAGCGCAAAGCCCTGGGTCGCCTCCTCCAAGGCTTCGCCTGCGGGTCGAGGCTTTTGCCCCCTTTGCTCAGGACCTACCCTGGAAGAGTCGTGTCGCGTCGAGCCCCCGGGACCCCCCCCCCCCCCGTTGCGGCCTGTCCCGCTCTGCAGCAACACGTAAGCACCCAAAAACTTGTGCACGGCCCTGCACAGTCAGAGGTGGCCGGGGGCTCCCGCGGGCAGCAGTGTCCCAGCCCTCCTGCCCCCTCCCCGGGGCAGAGGCGGCCCCCAAGCCCGGGAGGCGAGCGCCTTGCTGTCCTTGGAGAGGGCAGTCGGAGAACGATGCCTGGAGGGGACAAGGAGGCTCAGTTTTGGGTGTTCTCCAGCCCATGCCGTAGGGCATTGCCCCGTCGAGAGGGAGCGGGCTGGTGGGTCTGGGGGAGCTTCTGGGCAAACTGCTTCTTGTACAGGGTGCTGCTGTACTGCAGCTCCGGGGTCACCAGCCGCCGGCACATGTGCTCTGTCTCCTTATCCAAGCCCTGCTTGAGGTTATAGCCCAAGATCTTTGCATTGCCGTGCTGCAGTGGCCGCAGGGAAGAGTCTTTGATGTCCTTTGGGGCCACGCTGCCCATCCCTTGCAGGCAGGTCCTTGCCAGCTGTGCTCGCCTCTCCCGAAGTGCCTTGACTTCCCGCCGCACGCGCGCCCTGCCGAGGTCTCGGTCAATCCTTTCCCAAAATGTCCTGTTGAAGTGGGTGTAGATTTCCCAGTCCAGCCTGTTCCAGTCCTTTATCTTCTCCACCATGGTGTCCGAGAGGGGGGACTTGGTGCTGCTGTCCCTGATGTTGAGTGGGAAGGAGACAACGCTGTCCAGGTCCCAGCACAGCGTCTCCTTCAGCAGCACCATGGACTCATCGAAGTACTCAGAGATGAGGAGTAAGTTGAAGGATGCCTCGATGGCTTTCAGCATGAGTTGCACCCTCTCGGCTGAGACCTCTCCGTTGGGGTTGAAGCCAAAGTCGAATGTCATGAGGTTCCTGGCGTAGTGGCTGTCACTCTTTGTGGGGTTGTAGTAGTGGTAGGGCTGGGCGAGGAACTCCTCCAGGCTGTGAACGCGGGAGAAAGCTGATGTGCCCTTGTAGTACACAAAGGAGGACTCCATGAGCTGCACAGGGTTCCTCAGGATGGAGAAGTAGATAGCTGAGCTGGACACCACTTTCTGCACCTGAGGAGGAGAAAAAGGAGGTTTTAAAGGTGGGGTAAGGGGAAGGGACCTACTCGCTTGCAATCCCGTGCTCTGCTGGAAAGCAGAAAAGCTCTCTAGGGTTGGAGACAGTGGGTGCTGGGGAGGGTTTCAGGGTGCAGCTCATCAAAGGAGCATTTGTGTCAGCCGTGGGGGTCCCCAGAAGAGGTACATGGGGACAGGAGTGACCAAAGCTCCCCGCTACATGCTGCCACAGCTGGGTGGCCTGTCTGGGCTTGAGATACATCCTATCTCCTTGCCTTTCCCCGGATCTGTGTGCCCTCAAGTGGCATCCAGAAGGGTGGATGCTGGGCATGGCTGACCTGGGCCTGTTCAGGGGACATCTCCGAGGGCTCACCAGACAAGAATGAGATGGTAGCTACAGACGCTGTCCTTGGCTTGTCCCAGGTCACAGCACAATGCTTCATCAAGCCTGTTTACAGCAGATGCCCATAACATGCAAGATACCTGGGGGAAATCCTGTTTTTCTTCATCTTCATCCCTGAAGAGTTTACGTACTCTATGGGTGTCCAACCTTGCTCCCCACGAGCCCCTCTCTCCCTCCCCAGTTCGCCCCTCCCAAGGCATCGTGGCTTTACCCATACCTCCGGCTGCAGGAATCGCATGTGGTGGCAGAGGATGTTGAACCGCCGAGGGCTCCTGGGGGAGAAGCCCTGCACAAACCTCGCCAAGAAGTGGTGCGGGTAGAAGAGCTGGTTGCCACCTCCGATGGGGAAGGCGAAGGTGAGGTTGTGCGTCTCACCAAAGCGGAAGAGGACGTTCATGACGGTGCTGCTGGCACTCTTGTGGACCTTCAGGAAGACAATGTCAGTCTTGGGCTCGCATGTCTCCCCTTGAGAGGAGACCCTCCTGGCCTGCTGGCCTGCTCCAAGTGTCACCCTCTCAACCTTAGAGACTTCTGTCCAGCTTGGGAAAAAACTCCCCTCCAGGTCTGTCTTGTAAAAGTCCTCTGCCTGTGGAGGTTGAGCTGAATTTGGCACGGTGCGCTTAAGCGAGCCGCCCCACTGGTGGCGGGGGGGCCCCACGGCTTGAGGCTGAGACGGGCTCTGCATCACCGCCTGCGTCGCTCCTGGCGGTGAGATTCTCCTGCGCTCCTCTGCGGTCACGCTCTTTGCAAAGATTATGAACTTGCTGGTGACAGCATCCGCGTCTCCTAAAGCTGCAGAGATCCTCCCAGGAAGACTTGGAGGAGGACCCTCTCTGGTTGCTTTTCTCGGGACAGGAAGCTGGGATTTCAGCCCCGTGGATGCAAGACGGGCTTTCACCTTTTTGCTGCTCTCCACAGGCTGCCACGTCCAGTGCACCTCCTGGCTGCCCGGGGTGCTTTCCAGGGGGTTCTCCTGGCTGAAGTACAAACGCATCTGAAAAAAGTCCTGCGCGCTCTCAGTTGAAGTGGGGCCGGGCATGGATTTGCTCTGCCAGTGTAGGGAATTGTCCTCCCACTGTGGGTCGGGGGTCTGGAGGGCATAGCTGAGCCGTTTCTGGCCGCGGTCCGTGGTCTGCTGCAGAGCACGCTCCAGCTCACACCGGCAGTTTCTATAACAGGGAGGATGCGAGGCTCAGCTGCAGAGGATGGAAGGAGCGTGCAAAGAGGGCAGCTCCTCTGCAGCTCAATGAAACCCCCCTGCAGCCACCCCAAAGCGCATTTCCCCTGTCTTTCTCGGGGTGGATGGCACTGCTGATTGGTGTAGGACCTGACCACTGCCCTGGGAGGTCGGGGTGGGTGCAAGGAGAGGAGGACAGGTCAGCAGCAATGTGCTGATGCCCCTGCCCCGCTGGTGGGCTGGTGGAAAGGGGCAAAGCAAGAAGAAGTAAGGAGAGGAAAGAGCGGGTGGACTGGAAACGCTGGAGGAAAG